CATACACACACACATACATAGAAGGTGCCCCCCCAAAAAAATGTATACACATTTTAAGAAAGGAAAAAAACTATTAAAATTGTAATACTCAATAAGATGAATACAAGCCACGTTTGACTTCTGCAATGACAAGAGGTGCTCAAAGTGGTTCCCATCAACCTCCAGACACTTCTGATGACGGCAAACAACTCTTAACATATCTTAAAATGTGTATACATTTTTTGACACCCCCGGTATATACATATATATGATTATATATAACTTATTATAAAAATTGGCTTATGATATTATAGAGCCTGAGTCCCAGGAAAGCCAGTGGTGCTGCTCCGAGAACCAGAGGGCTGATTGTGTAAGTCCTAGTCAACAGCAGAATAAGGCTGACAGCTTGGCTCAAACAGGCAGAGAGAATGAATTTCTTCTTTCTTGGCTTTTTGTTCTATTCAGGGCTTCAATAGATTGGGTGATGCCAGGGAAGGCAGTCCACTCTACTCGGTCCACCAATTCATATGCTAATCTTATCCAGAAACACCCTCACAGACACACCCAGAAATAATGTTTAGTCTAGACACCCTAGCGGTGGCTCAAGCCTGTAATCCCAGCACTTTGAGAGGCCGAATTGAGGAGATTGCCTGAGCCCACGGGCTTGAGAATAGCCTTGGGCACCTTGGCGAGACCTCATCTTTACAATAAATCAAAAAGTTAGCCGGGCATGGCAGCACACACCTGTAGTTCTGGCTACTCGGAAGGCTGAGGCAGAAGGATTGCCTCAGCCCAGCAGGTCGATGTTGGGGTGGCTGTGAGCATGCCACTGTACTCCAGCCTGGAGTGAGACTCCAGCTCAAAAAAAAAAAAAAAAAAATCTGGGCATCCCATGTCCCTGTCAAGTTGACATATAAAATTAACCATTATGAGTGCTAATCAGCCCATGTTTGCCCAGCAAGCATGAAATGTTTGCTGGAGAAGTCATATGATTGCTTGCTAGACATTCTGACTGTCATAAAATACTAATGGTCGCTTCCTGGCATTCCCACATTGTGTGTTATAAGAGGCTAATACCACACAAGCCACATAAAGCCTTGGGGACATACAGCAGGCCTCTCATCAGGTAATCTTGTCCCCAAACACAAAGGCTCAATCCAGGGCTCAACCCAGCTCAACATTGGCAAAAACCCCACAGTTACTATAAAAATCTTGTAGATCTGATTGCCCAAGGACAAGACTAGGCTACAGTTCATGAAAAATGCTGTTTTGTTGTGTCCCCTGGAGGGCCACACTTTGTGAAAGTTGGGATTTGGGGGGAAAGGACGGTGAGTGAGGTAAAGCTCACAGGAGAATAGGTTCTTGACCTCAGACATCTCATCAGTGTTGGAAAGACTGGATCACTGACTCAAGAATTTCTGGAGCCAAGGCTAATAGGTATGGTACCACTGAGAGCTGCCACGAACCTTCAGAAATGAGAATGCTCTTAGTAGGCCAGAGTTGTCAAGAGAGACATCTGAGAAAAGGTAGGATTCGAAATAGGTCTTGAGAGAAGAAGTGAGAGGTTTCCAGGCTTGGACAATGGGGTTGAGATGAAAAGGCAACATTTTTTATACTCCACCGTGTAGTCGGTCGAGTTATGGTGCTAGGTTATGTGTTCAATCCAGCCTAACAGGTAATAATAAGTAACCTTTAAATATAGTCACCCCACTCATTCACTAAAACCCTGTAGAGTTAAAATCAGTATTATGTGAATTAGTATTATTTCCTTTTTACAATCAAGGCAACTTAGAGAGTTCTAAGATCACTCATTTAGTAAGAAATGAAACAGGAATTTGAATTCAGGTCTTTTGACTTCAAAGCCCCTGCTCCTTCCTCCACATCATTGAATTTTCAGTCCAACGCTGCAAAGCAGAGGTTTGTTCTCTTTAAAGAATCGGAATTAAAGGATCAGAATTGTAGGTGTTTGTTCTCTTTAAAGGATCAGAATTTTAGGATATAGGCTGATGAGTCTTGACATTTCCTTAATGTAACAAGTTAAGTCTTTATTTAAGAGATAGAACAACTTGTGATTTTCTTCCATTGGTGGGTTAGACAGATAATAAAAATGTAGCAAAGGTTATTAAAATTTATATGGAGACTAGCACAGATTGGAATAACTACAAAGTGAATTCTTTAAGCTGCAATAGAAAGGTGGTGAAATAGCACAATATGAAAGAAAACTCTCCTTTACCTTCGGCTGCCCAAATATACCATCAAAAGACTGCTCAATTCTCAAATGCTAGTATTTTCTGACTCCTCCAGAACCTATTCTTAACACAAAATATCAAAGTCAGCGGGATAGTAGGTGTCCCAAAATGTCTTAATTCAGAGAATTAGTGTTAACTGAGCCTGATTAGCTCCATTTATCTCTAATTAATTACCTTTATCTAATTAGACACTTTGTTTCCAGTAGACATGGAGTCAAGTAGACTAGATTATTAGTGTAGTCATTGTGCCTTTACAAAATCCTGAAATTAATGAAACGTGCAAAAGAATCTGCAGTTCTAATTGCACAGGTGTTGCCTTATGGCAAAGCTTTATCATCTGATTACACCAAGGGGTTATTAGTGAGTTTTTATATAGAGGATGAGCCTATGAAATGTACCTTAGCAACAGCTCATTAGTTTAGGGTTGTTACTGTATTATTTATTACATTCAGCCTTCCCCATTATCTAGATTGATTCATGGACCTATATATTTTTTCCTCTCCTCTGTGCAGGAAAAAAATAAAATAAACTATCGTGATGAAGAGTCCAGATACAATGTGAAAAAATGCAAAACGTGTTCATCAGCTACAATTTGACTCTTTAAGACAGAAAACTCTAAAGTTAGATGAGCTAAGAATCAAATTTATGGTTATTTTCTATGGGAAAAGAACCAATTTAAAATTACTGAGGAGTATGGAGTGATTCATACATGTGATAACAAAAAAAATACGTGGCTGTCCTAATGTCTTCGCATAACTGAACAGGCATGTCAAGGTATGTGGAAGAAAAAAGCAAAATGTTTTGCACCAAAATACATTTATATTTATTTATTTTCACACCGTAACTTCCCAAAATGGATTGACAGGACCTCTGTGTGTGTCCATCCATAACATTTATAAAAATCCATCTCATATTTTACTTTTTGCTTTTTTTTCTTAAGAACAAATTTGTTACCAGATGGGGATAACTAACAAATTATACAATCTAGCTTCACTGAAAAAGCAAGATTTCATTGCCTGCCTACAAAAATGAAAAGTGCTTTTTCATGGCAAGGTTAGATGTCTGCAATAGATTAAAATATCTCAACCTTTATGGGTTTTTAAAATTTTTGTCCTCATAACTATTTGAAGCAGCACTGTTTTTCACAATCATAGAGTAATTAAACAGCTAGAAGCAAATCTAGTCACAATTCGATTCCAACATGTGAACATGTTTATTGACAACACAGTAATTCCTTTAAATAATTTGTCAACATAAATATGTCAGATGAATTTTAAAATCATTTCTCTCCCTGTTCCCCACCAACAACAAAAAAATGTCTCTACTGCTATGAACTATATATTGCTATTCACTTATTGCTGAATCTAAACTAGTGAAATGATAACGGGTAACTTACATAGAGCATGACAACTAATTTGAGTGGTAATAATGAATATTTAATGATCCTCCTTAAGCATGAACATATAACTTTTCATGTATGCCTTACCAAAATTATAACCATTAATCTAAAAATTATAGTTGTAACTGAAATAATAGCCAGGAATTATAGATTATGACCAAGCTAGAGCATTGCATAAATATGCTACACAAACACAAACACAGAGGCATGTAGGAATCTCCAGTCTCTTTTTTTCATTCAATTCAAGTCCTCTTTTTGAAAGGTTATGGAAGTTGTGTGATTAGTAGAGATTTGAATCCAGATATTAAAAGGCTATTATTTCTATCAATAAGTACAATAGCCAAGGTCATTTTCATTTTTCACTGGCTCATAATTTCTAAGCAAAAATAACATGCATACAAACATTTGCCCCCATTGGGGTAATATTTTTAGAAAGTTTCATTTAAATCAAGAAAAGAGTAAACATCAAATCCGTCTGCGATGCAGAATTTTTATACCTTAATTTTCATTATGTTTAATATGTAATTTTTCCCAGTGTGTTACTCTATCAGAAACTACAATGTGACTTGGGGAAAAAGAAAGAGAGAGCTCTGAAAAATGCATAAAGCACTTTAAAATGGGCTTTGTTCACTGATAGAAAATATT